TCATCGGCCCCGAGCAACCAGTTTCCGAACTGAAGCATCCTTTGAAGCCCTCCTGCCTATTTATAGTTCTGTATCTTCAGCACCCCTGGCCACTACTGTGGTTTCTACACATCATTCTTCACTCCTTGTCTGCACAACTACTCGTGGGTTAAGTTGCAAAGTCTGGCTTTTATCACTGGTTAGTAAGGAGTGGATCCCTTGCACCTTCCTCCGCTGTTGTTCAGCCCAGTGATTAAATACACTGTTGACAAACAAAATAACAGGAAAACAAGTGTTACTTGTATTAATGGAATGAAAAGGGTTTAGATATATATCTATATCATAGATATACATATGCACATATCTATATGTATATATAGATATATATGTACGGAGTTACACCAACAAGAGTGTTGTTCACTTCGACTCATTGTACGGAACACCCCTCAGCAGCAGTTCCCAGAGGATCTGAGAGCAGCTCTCTCTGGTGACGAGTCCTCCTGGGCAAACCGGGCTGTGTTTTTAAAGACCAAGAGGAGCATCAGTGCGAACATGCCTAGAACCACACACCACTCAGAACCAGCTGTGAAAGGCAGAGGCGTCGCGCTGAGAAAGGCTCGGTGCACACAGGCTGGCCTCACGCTTTCCATCATGCTCGGTTTCCACATCTCGTTTATCAACCCCCGAAAGAACATCTTATTCAGGACCACGCAGCTGACGCTCCCACGTTCGCGTAGGAGCCACGTTCCTTTGCAACCAAACCACCTTCCGAGCCACCGAGCAGCTTTTACACGGGAGTCAGGTGAGAACAAGCCAAAGCCGCCTGCTCCCCGCCGTGACGCCAACTTGTTACCCTACTGCATTCAAACATCTTGGTACCATTAGTCAAAATGCTGGTTTTCAGGGCTGGGTGGGCTTTTGGTTTTAATTTATGAACAAACTGGATTACTTGAACTTTATTCAAACATAGCTGAAGTTCTAAATAAATTTTCCATACCAGACAAGCCAGTGGTCTCAGGGAAGAACAACATTACAAACCATATTATGACTCTATCAAGCCAACATTAATTCTCAGTTGTTCACATGCACAAACAACTCTATTTACTGTCCAAGGGAAGTCTGCATGAAAAGCCCATGTGAATAAAGCTATTCAAAAAGCACAAAACACAACAACAAAAAAAAAGCTATGGAAACAAACAGAACAAAAAAAGGAATTAAGCTTGAATCGCAAACACAGAACGCAACGGTATCATGAAGGTGGTTTGGTCCAGGAGAGCTGACTGTCATCACGCACACGTACGTGATGGCACGTGACTGTCTTCTACCGAAGTGCTTTTTGAAATGTCTATCGTGATGGGTGCTACGTCGTTAGTGTTTCTTCCTAATGCATTTTAAAACCACCTACAGACGACTATAAAAACCAGTAACTTGGACAGTTTTAACAAAACCCTCCTAGCCAGCTGAAAGATCTGAGGATCTCCAGTTGTGGTAATCAATATGTGCAAGAGAGGGGAACAGCCACTGCGCCAAAAGGTCACCGGAACCTAATAAAAAATTGGGAAATCAAAACAACCTAGTGAAAACTTGACGTTTTGCTGGTTTCTCAGGGCTAGAAACGCTCCCTCCCAAAGACAAACCACAGCACTGTGTATTCAAGAGGCCGCGTACAACTCCAAGTAGCCAAGCACCACATTATTCAGATACCACAACCAACACCTGCACGAACAGCTGCCAGAGCTGGAAAAAGAGAAACATTATACATCAAGCCGATGGCAAGCTCGTGTTAGTCCTGTGTGCTTGTAAACCAGTTACACGCTGTCAGAGGGCAGCTACAATCTGATGGCTGGTCCATCAGAATCCACAGTTATGAAGCATATAAACGGGGGAAGAGAAGGGAGCTGAATTTTTACTGGCACGTTAAAAGAAATCAATTCAATGTTAGTTTTGGAAAAAAAAAAAAAAAAAAATAATCAGTGCTCTCATCAACCAGAAGCAGCAAAGACCCAGTAGCTGTAAACTCGATGTAGTAGGATCATCAGGCAGCCCGTGACAGGTTTTTTCACTGTGGTTTTGGTCAGGAAAGCAACATTATTGCCATAGGAGCCTATTTCTTTTGAGGTGCTGACTCGGCCAAACGTCTTTCTGGTGCTTGTGGCATCTGAGGAAAGAG